TACGAGCTGCTGGCGAATAACGAAAGAACATCAAGGATTACGCGCGTCGTAGATACCGATGCAAAATGCTCGATATTCGCGGCACAAGTCGAAGGGTGGCGCGCCTCCTCCGCGTGTGCCTGTACATAGCCGAGCCTCCGCGGTAATCCTGAGTTATGGCGGATTATATCATCAATTTAGCCGACCAGGATCAGGTGCAGCGAGTACCATCGGCAGCCAGGATATATTCGCGTGCCTATATGGAACGGTGCTCCCTTCGCTTTTCCTCCAGCGACGCACGACCCTCTAACGCGAGCATCCAACGTCCCATAACACGACCATAACGCGAAACAACTTAACGCGTGTGTTGCAAACACCGAAATCTCCGATCCTCCAACTCCGTTCCTCCTCTTTCCATCGAGCGTTCGGCGGGAAATATCTTCCATTTTTTGACGCACGGAATCCCTGCCACGAATTGCAAAAATATCGTGCAACGATCTGACAGCTCGTAGTGGTTATCTGTATCGACGTAACGAGACGTACGAGGTCGTCCCGAAATCAACCTCGAATTGCCAGCTAATAAAATTTCAAAGTGGTTTCACAAATTTTAGCATGTACTAAATTTTCATATAAGATCTGGGTCGCGTTAAATCGAAACGACAACTACGTATAACAATAATACTTTCTCTACTCTTAATGTTCAAGAGTAACCATTCGGGGGTTGATTTCGGAGTGCCTCTCGGATTTCAGTGCAGCAACGGCGACCGTTTGTTCGCGTTTAGGGGCGTACAGGTTCACGAGACACTGGTATCGATATTTACGCCGGTGGCAACGGGTATAATCTCTTTTTTCTGTAAACGTCGATACACGTCGCAAGGGAAAGGACCGTTCGGGGAGGCGCAGCGACGGAAGAGTTCGAAGGAAGAACGATACGCCTGTCGTACGTTACCCAGCAGATACCTCGGGGGATCGAGCCGCGGCAGCGGCGCAACCAGTGAAAGTATAAATCCGCTAAAATATCGAGAGATTAGCGTTCGGACGCGTCGCCCGATAGCTGGCCGAGGCTCAGGCCCAAAGCCGACACCCGCCCCTATCCACCCGCGCTAGTTCCGTCCTTTTCCTGTTTCCTCGCGTCGCAGTTGCAACCCTGGTCAACGGAATCCGCCAACAGAGAGAGGAACACAGAGAGAAAGAGAGAGAGAGAGAAATCGCCGCCATTTTTTCTCGTAACAATAATTTGTCGTTATCAAATAACGGCGGCTCGGTCCGGCGCGGCGGGCGGCTTTGCGAACGCGACAATAAATGCTGGCGAAATAAAATTTTACTGCCGAATAATATCCGTGCGGGAGTTTGTTGCTATTGAATTCCGCGACCGTTCCGTAACGATCTCGATAAACTACGGCCTTGGTCCGAGCCTCGCCGTTGGTGCAGCGGGTACTCTTCGGGGTCGCGAATCCCCTCGGTGATATTCTCGGGAGCTTTAAGGCAGGCTTCTGGTTTGTTCGGATGCAAAATCGAGCTTTTCTATTAATTCTGTTTCCTAAGACATTGAAATCCTACATATGAACTTTTTTGAGCCTTCGACTCTAATCGTATACCACCTCGGATACCGAAGACACAGAAATTTAAAGGGGTCTTCCCTCGCAATCGGTTTCTAATTACGAGACTATAGCCGCGTCGAGGTCCCGAGGGTAGGGTACGTTCCGCGGAAGGTCGCGTCCAAGACGCTGGAAGGGTTTCGAACGCACAATCGAGTCCCTTCTGGAGGAGCCGTTTACGCCTCGCGGTACACGCGAAACACGGAGACGGGTCGAGTCTACCGCAGAGAATAATGTTAATGAAATACAGATATTATCTCTATACAAGGGTCCCTAGCGTTCGCCGCGCAAGAATCGTCCGTTTCGCTCGAGTTTCGTCTCGCCCTTGCATTCCGTTTCTCGCCGCGAAACACATTTAACGCGAGCCGACGCTCGTTAAACGCGCTCTCCTTAGTCGTTCGACCGAGTACAAAATCGCGAACCGAACTAAAACGGCAAGGTACGAGCGGTACGCAGGGCGCGTCCGTGGACAATACTTCCACCGGTACCGCGCCACGTCCTGGAGCTTGCTAAATAACGTGTAAACCACACCGCGCTCGATACGAGATTCGATTACGAACCTACTCGTTCCGATGATAAGAAGATGGGAATTCAACGATCGTAACCGTGAAAATTTAATGGCGCGCAAGCAGCGAGAGATTCGAGCAAACGAACGAGAAACGTCGAATAAAACGTGAAATAAGTGAATTCTGTAATGTATTTTTAAAAGGCAATCAAAGATGGGAAACGAAGAAGACAGCTGGAGTTTGAATTTCATTCGACGTCACGCGAAAATGTTAAAATCCTCGATCCGTGCACCGTGTCCGCACCCGGCGAGCGTTCCCTTCGCGATGGATCGAGAGCTCGACGCGTGCGCTCGCAGGCTGATTTTTTCAAAAGCGGCCTAATTAAAGAACGCCTGACAAAACGTTAATTAAAGCACTCGAAAAGCCGAGTGCCATTAAAGGAAGAAGAGGGAAGGCGACGGAAGACTAGGAGGAGAGAAATTACAAGCGCGCGCAAAGGAGGACACGGAGAGGACGCGGTGGGACAGGGAGGAAAGCAAAGGGGACGGCGAGAGAGACGAGAAGGGCTTAAAAGTTGGAGCGCGTCCGTGCTAGTTGGTATAGCCTGGTTAGGGCGGGCGAAAGCAGCCAGCAGGCAATTCCTAACGGGTGGAAAGATATGCAAATGCGCGAAAGGGAGGCCACGGGGTAATGTCGAGCTACCTGAGCCGAGCTGGGACGCAATAATCATTAAAAACTAAAACGCGTCCACCTTTCCCTCTCCGCCTACTCGCGGGGACCGTGCTCGCGTCTAGGGAGTAAGGGCCAGAGGGTGGAGGTACGAAACGGAGGAGGAAGATTGGCCGAAACGGAAAGGGGGCTCGAATGGGTCGGCGGAAGGAGCGAAGTTAGCTTGAGCTTAGAAAGTTACAGCTTCTCCTCCGCGAACACCGCCGTGCGGAGGGGCTTCGCGCTAATTTCGCAGTCGCACGGCGAAGCTAGTAGCGTATCGAGCTAGGGCTCCCTTGGGATCGTTCAACGTACACGCGTATTCGATAACACCGAGATCGATGCCGGAAGAACGAGGCGACGTTTCACCAGCGTCGCTCGCGACACGCCTTCCATAGCGAGAATATTATCTCGCGAACGGCCGACGAGATACCGCAACGAATAAAGAACTGAAACAAGGCCCGAACGGTACGTTACGGCCACGATTACGTTAAATAAGATTTCAGCGACCGAAATTGAATAACTTAGCTCCGTGCGTAATCGCTGGGAAATAGGGTCTTGATACGCGTTTATCCGAGGTGTAACTGTATTCGCGACCGTCGAGCGAATTGGTATGTGTGCGCGTAACAAACTCTATTGTAACGCTAATTTATGAATATTAACTCAACGAGCGAGCGGTATTATTAACGGTCCAGGGGTCCAATTATCTGGCGCGCGAGGCAATCGATACACCGGGAAATAATAATTAATAACATAAAGTTAATACCGCAGGCTTCGGAAAACCGTGCGCGATCCCGCACCCTTTTAATCACCGTGGACCTTTGCCCTCTCTCCTGCGATCGTATCGCGACAACCACCTCCGTAACTCTTTCTTATTAACGGCGAATCGTCTCGCGACGCGACCAGCTTCGAAATTTCCGGTTCGCGCGGTCCTCCGGCAAGAGAAGAACGCGACTCGATTTGCCCTTATTTATCGCGATTTAATGGTTCGCCGGGTACCCTCGCCGCCGTATCGTTTAATCGATACGAGGTATAGGAAACTGGGCAAGAAACGGCGTTACACGAAAGAAGCAACGTTACAATGGCGAACCTCGAACGGAATGGCGCGCGGCGGGTCCGATGGACAATTCTACGTCCTCAACCCTTAGACGTTGTGGGCCCTCGAAGAAATATATTTGCTGGGAATACATGGTTATCGGTAAATTGGAAAGTTACGCGAGCCGATCGCTACGATCCACGATTGTCCACCGTTTAGAACAGTCATCCGTTCTACGGTGGGTCAGCGGGAGGAGAAAACGAACCCGAGAATCGGAAACACGAGAACGCACGGCGTTCAGGCATTAAAGCGCGCTCGACTCTGCCAGGGAACTTCATTTAAGAGTCCTTGTTTATAAACTGAAACAGGACGCGGCGGAATATAATTTCGCTTCTAATTACTCTGAGTGCTTTGCTTCTTTCACGGAAAGCGAGCCGTCCCGTGGTGGCGCGCTGCAGAAGTTTCGTCCGTCGACGAAAACGCCCGAATCCGATCGAGCCGGCGTCCAGCCGGGACGATTGTTGTACGGTCGCCGCCATAAGTAAAAACTTAATAAATAGCCGGAAGAAAGACCGAGACAGGAAGCGCGAGCGCGGACAACGAGGAGGAGGACGACGAGAGAGGAAAAAAACAGCGAGCAGGGAAAGAAAAGCTGCGGCAGAGAGACGGAGGGGGGGGGGGTCGAACAGGGGGCGGGGTAAAATTCTCTGATAATTAAGACCGTTTTAAGGAAAAAGAAGCGAGCTCTTCGTTTCTCCGTTCCGTCGACTCTCGGTCGGTCGGTATCCTTGCATCCTCGAGGAGGCTAATTAATTTAATTACCGCCTTCACCAGATTTACCCCCAACCCTCTCCACGGATACCCGACTTCGGAATGGCTCTGTGTTTCTCGATTCCGCTCGGAAGTACAATGATTTCGCGATGGTCTCGGCCCGCGGAGAGAAACGATTCGATCGGCTCTCTCTCGTTCTCCCATTTTCTCTACCTCTGTCTTTCCCGTCCTCTCTCTTCTATCCGCTCGATTTCTTCGAGCGAAACTCATGAATGACGAGAGCGACGAGAAAAAGGTTAACTATCGAGCGCATATTTATGAGTGGCCGCGTCGCGGGCCAAAGGAAACGGGCCGAAGCCTCGCGGAAGCTTCGTGGAATTTAAATTAACCGGAGCCACTTACCATTCTTAATTGAACCGATATTCTTGCTAGACGCTCGATCCAATTAACACTCGTTCTCTCTACGCGATCCGGTCGTTTCGTCGTTGGAGCGTTCGCGAGCTCGTTGACGCGTCGTCGTTCTCGTTCCGGGTTCTCCCGCGTCGTCGAGATCCGAATTGATATCGCGCGATACGGATCGATATTAGAAACGACGGAGAAACAAGGAAAAAAAGACACCTACCTGCCGTACGAAACGACCAACGTTTCGTATTTTCCAGGGCCCCTCGACCCGCGCCTATAGACCGTAACGAGTAGTAACGGCGTGGCAGGAAAAGCCCGTTAAATTTAATGTTTATCGACGACAGAGAGCGTAAAATTTAATTAATCGAAAAGTGATTATGAGCGAAAGCACGGAAGCAGAACGCTGATTCTATCGGTCGCGATCAGCCCATAAGCCCACGGATGGCTGGCCATAACCCTTCGAGTCCATTTTACTTCACTCCGTGGACCTGACATAGCAGCCAGCTGGTGTTACGCGACGCGTTTCGATCGGTTCACTGCCATCCAGAGGCCTATACCAACCTAATCAGCCCGTCCTTCCTCTATGGTTCGTTCCTCCGAGCCACTTTTCCCCTCGATTTTGCCTTCGCGGTAAAACAGAATCGCGAAAAGCTGATAAAAATTGAAAATGCCTTTCTTTTCCGTCGCTTACATAAATTGTTATCGGATGATATTCGTGTTCGAGGTCTAGAAACTATCGCTAACCTCTTGCTCGCTCCTCAAACGTTCACGTCTTCCGTGGCTTCGCCGCATGTTTTCGCGAAAGTTGCCACGGTTGATTCACGGAACGATCGTTGGTTGAAAAATACGCCGAATAATCCACGACAAACATTGCAATTGATCTCGTCGAAACGGATATTGTCTGCGCGCGGGAAACAATAAAAATTACAACGCGAATCGCGAAGGATAGAAGTAAATGAAAGCCAATGGAACGGAGAAGTACGTGTGCCTCGATACGGTTGTTTGCATGGCAGGGAGTGTGTTTGTTAAGAACGAACGATTCGCGTCGGGGATCGCATCGAGCGAAGCGTTCGAAACCGCGCTCGCAAAACCCGAGCGGAACACGCAAATTGGAACAAATTGATTTTCCCCCGCGACATCTATTAAAGTGACGGAAGTGAGTCACGGTATTAACGAGCGTCGCAATATCGAAACGACCAGCCTCCATCGTCGAGGTTTTCGAGCAAATTGGATTTTCGTGAGAAACATTATGACACCCCTCGTAATTGCCGCGCGATAGCGATACACGCGTTTTATATGACCGTGTAAACGATCGCCTAGCATCGGAATAGACGCGCGAACCTTCGATGCCTATCGTTTGACGATAGAACGTAAAACAAGTATCGGATAGCGAATCGATAATCTATTTACTCTGTCGGATTAGTTTGTTCGACGCTTGGATGCTGCGACGGGACGTGGAAAAAGGTAATACGTTGATTTCTCTCCGAGTGCTAATTTGCTCCTCGTTCCGATGCTAATCGCAGGATGGTTCCCTTCAGTCCTGACACTTCCACTTCTCTTTGTCAAGCCTTTCGATAACATCTTGATCGAAGATGAAAATCGACGAAACCCGAAATCGAACCTTAATCTCGCCGGAATTGGCTTTCGCTTGGGTCCGTTATCGCGACCGCTATCGTGGTGATCTTCGATTAGTCTACGTCTATTTAAAACTGAAAAGTTTCGGTGTATCGTGAGCCTGGGGAAACGACGCCCTCGTATTAATTCCGTAGGCCTACCAGCGATAATGTCTCTCTCCTTGCGGTGTTCCCCAGGGTGGCGTGAAAGCATTCCCTTTAACGACGGTGAATCGAGTCGCGAGATAGGCGATCGTCTCGTCGATTACGTTAAGGAGAACGGGTAATTACGTGTCCGTGTCTCGATTTTCGTCCGAGAAATCGTCGAAACGTCTCCTACGATGACTAAGTGGCCTTGCCAGGTATTTACAGAACAAACCAAGATCGCGAAATTAGTCGTGGATCTAATCGAGGTACGTCCAACGCTATCTTCGTTCGGCGATCATAAACTGAAGAAGGTACCTCGAAGGATAGACTTTTTCCAAGAGGGAGCAAGCTCGGGAAATCGGTGGCGCGTACGAGGCGTTAAAATTAACGGCGTTGTAACAAAGTATCGTAAGTCTGTCCGACTGGATAGGAGGGTTCGCGAATCGCGTGCAGAGTTGGCGTTCCAGCTACGTACTAACGAACAGCTACGGTGGCGGACGCGTTACGGGCTTGCAGAGTGGTAATCGAATACTTAAAACTCTCCGCGCCGAAGGGGAAACGTACGGTATAGACCACACGCGGCCGAACAGTGGCGAATCCATCGAATCCGACAGCCTCGTAAACCTCACCGTCTTCTCGTCCACCGCGATTTTCTTCGTTTTCTCTGGAAGAGGAACTCGCAGCGGAGACCAGAAGGAGGTGAGACGACTTTCAAAACAACGCTTCGAAGCTTTTGAAAAGACGCCAGGCTAATCACCGGGCCCGATTCGCGGAAGGAAGACGAAGGCGAGTCGAGACAAGCGTGAATAGCGGTGAAAAAGTTCGCGCGACTGCGGGGATCGTAATACGCCGGTAATGCCGGTGCTTAGCGGCGTATAAATAGGCATTAAATCCGTGCTTAGTATACCTTAATCTCTATTTTTTCCCGGCATGCCTACCAGAATATATTATCAGCCGGGGGATTTTATCGCGGCGACGATAATGCCGTTAACGCTAGAATATACTCGAAGGAACGTTTTAAAGGAGCTCGCTGCCAGACGATCGCGGTATTTCTTCCGATCCGTGAACGTTCGCCCTCTCCGCGCCTTTTCTCTCGTCGTCGAAGGGATAACGATGGCTCTCCTCGCGAGACGACTTTGTATTTAAGTTACGTACTCGCATCAGGAGATCCGGATCGGTTTCGAGCAACGTCTTTCCATAAATTACGAGTTTTCCAGAGGTGCGCGTCGTCGGATAAACCCGGCGAAGAAAAGGAAAGAAACAAGGTGGACGTTTAACCTTCGGCCGGAGGGTGGTACGCTATTAACGGACCGTTTCCGTGATACGCGGACGTTTCCCGCACGCTCATCAGCGTCCACGGTGCAGAGACACGGAGCAAAGCACGGATTTGAATTAGGAGTCGGTGTGCAGCGCGGAGCCAGAAACCCGTGGATGGGGAGGACGAGGTTGGTTGCTAACGACCGTCGCCAGACCAGGGTTGTTAACTGCTGCCGAGTTCGGTCGTTGTTCCGCTGGATGTGGTGGTTCTTCCATGTGGGAAGAGGTTCCACTGGAGTGGGTGTGAGGGTGGAAAAGGGCCAGGACGGGGGAGAATGGCTAAGCTATTCGGAACAATGTCTTGTTAGGCGGTTTGCTTTGAGGTAATCGCTGGGAAGACCCCGGCAGTCGTTAGACTTTCCCTCGCGGACCTGTTTGTTTCGCGGATAATTGCCCACCGATACTCGACTCTAGTCCCTCGTAAAATCGTGAACGATCCCCGTTGGGCTTGCGGGGCGAGAGAAACCGAGAAAGAAGGAAAGACGGGGAGGGGGGCGAGAGAAATACAGTCGGAATCGGAGCACCGGGGAATGGGGGCGAGCTTCTATTTACTCGCGAGAACGAGCGTTTTCGCCGGAAGAGTCGCCTTATTACGCGGCGATCCAATTCTTTTACGTACGAGGAACGGCTGGTTATCGCGTCATTCGATTAGCCAAGATCCCAATTACGCGAGCGTCTAGCTGCCACGGAAAGGAAAGTCTGGCGAAAACTTAATCCAAGTCGACTCGAACCGAGCCGAGCCGAGCCGAGCAGTGCCGAGCGCGAGACCTCGAGATGCCGTGCACACAAACGAGACGAAAAAATACTTCCACGAGTTAATTAGCGCAAATTACAACTCCGACGTGGACACGGTAATTACAGATTTTCTATTCCCGACAGCTCGTTCAGCGTCGGAACCCATTGAATATACCTTCGCTTAAACGAGACGCGTCAACGTGTTCCGTTGACGCAAGATGATACGAACAACTCTGAACAGCGTGCACCCACGAACTGTGCGCAACAAATATTGTTTACGGGCAACGTTCGACGAATTCAGAAGCCGCCAAACGGCAGGAAGACTGTACCACTGTACCCGCAACGCAACCGTTGTCAACCGAAAACAAAATACCGTGACGGTTACTATAGATTGCGCTATTAGTATCTAGAGTATCTACGCATCGCGGGGTAGTTTGCCTGCGTGTTCCTCCCCACGTTAATATTCTTAGCGTGGTTTCAGCACGATTTTGGTGCTTCCGGATTCCCATCCCCGTAGGACTTCCAGAATAACGGCGGGTATACTATACGCACTAATTCGTACTTTGAGAGCTTACGGGCAACTAACTTACCCCTAATACCCCGTGCTCGTGTGCGATTATTGTCTTGAATAAGTTTCGGCGTTCGACTCGAGGTCTCGTTTTACTGTTTCGTTGATCATCGAAAGATTAGAAAGAAGCGAACGCGCTTGGAACTCGTGACGTAGCAATTTTCATTGCAATTTTCTAGACACACGAATATTGATAAAAAAAATTGATGGTGCGACGAGCTCCGAGCAGGTCCAACTTGCTAGCGCAATGCAGCTTGCACGATACAGCGATATTTCCATCGAGCATCCAATTTATGTAGCCGATAGTTTTACGAGCGACTACAGGATTAAGAAGTTATTCCAAACGAATCTTAAAACAACGACCTGGCAGAGAAATTCTCTTTCCAGTCCATTTATTCCCGCGTAAAAGTGTCGGATCTATAACTCCTGGCATCGTAGCCAGCGTCACAGATCGCAACGTATCGCGGGATAACATCGACGCCACGGGCGATCCGTTATTTAGGCGGCACAATTTATCGATCCTCCGGTGGCCTCGCGGACGAATTATTTGCCCGTCTCCGCGACGTATCGCCGAATAATGTATACGCGTATATATTTAACGAACAAGAAGGACCAACGCGCCGCGATCGACGAACGCTGCCGGAAGATCCGAGCCGGTGTTCCGGAATGGAGAGCGTCTCTGGCTGGACGAATTCCGAACAGGAGAAATACCGATTTGCTGAATAATTGGTTCGCGTCTGCGCGATCACGGCCAGCAACGAGAACTCACCCTCGGAGAAAGGCCGGAAGAAGACCTAACTAGAAGGAGCGCGAGAGAGACGAACGCCGGCCATTAATAGAGCACGAAATCCTACGGTCATGCGCCAATCAGCTTTCGCGACAGTCCCGTGGAAACAAGCATTTCCCATCAACGCGTTCGCCGAAAGCGTGGCCAGGACTCGATGCGCTCGACACGCTCGCCAAACCAGCTCCATTCCGTTTATTATACCGATACCGCAATCCGACCACTTTCTTCCGCGTTTAGCGATCCTGTACAGCCCCGATAGCGACAGTCGTCGATACGACCCGGACAATCCCTCCTATCTCGCGCAACTGGTTTTTTTACGTTTCTGTTAATTGATTTTTACACTCCGATACACCCTGACGAGGTTGCTCCTTTATAGTACCTATCCGCAAACGATGCGACGCGTCGTATATCCATGGTAATCGTTCGCTGCGAACCGCGATCCTCGCCGCGGAGACTTCGAGTTAAAATAATCCTCGACTTACTCCCATAATCGCGTACAACTTGCGTCGCGGCGTTCCGAAACATGACCAAACGCGCGATCCTTGATTTATCTTATTTGTCCAACGGAAAAAAGGCGATTGGCGTGAAAATGGCACAGTTAGAAGGTAATCCCTTTGGGCGAAACACCCCTCGTAAACATTCTCTCCTATGTTTGCTATCATCGTATCGGCGTTCGGCTTCCTTGTCCCGGAGTTGGCTCGATCGACGTCGCGTACGCGACCGTAGCACGGATCCGCTCGAAACATCGCCGAAGTAGATTTTTCCGCGCCTCGATATGATTAATACCCCGGCGAGATAGGAGGACGCGGAGATGGCGAGAACGAAAGGACGAAGCGCGGGGCGCCAGAGATTGGGGCGGCGGGGGCGTCGAGTGGCGGCAGAAGGAAGAAAGGGACGAGCGCGGGGGAGGTAGGAAGGAAGAAAGAAACGACGGTCGAAAGGAACGGCGAGCAAGAGAGAGGGAAGGACGGGAACGAGGCGGTTGAGAGGGAAAAAGGAGAAAGATGACGAAAAGGAGGGTGAAGGCAGCCGAGGTAAAAGGGAACGGTTATGGGCCTGGTGGTCGCTCGGCGTACAGCAAATCCCCGTCAACCGCATTCAATTACGATGTTATCGCGAATACAGATGACGGTTATTTCCTTCGGTACACCCTATACGTAACGTTCGCGATGCGGCGTGGAGCGGCGGTGGCGCGACGCAGGGCAACGCCGACGTCGCTTCTCCGTCCGAAGTTAAGGCAGTATATCGTGTAATGGCGGGTTGGCCGCCCGCCCGTATGATTGCTTTAGGATGCGCGTCGACAATACACCGGGATAAAGCGACTCCGATTTCGACCAGCGACGGTTACGACCGCCAGCTTTCCGTCCCCTTCCAACCACCCGTTATTGCCGCGATCTTCCTCCGCGGTCACCGCCAAAATGAATATCTGCCTCCTCTTTCCTCCGGTTTCTTTTCTCTACCGTCGATCGACTTTTCTCCATGGCCGTCCATTTCGTTACTCGTTCGTCATGGGACGCGATTCATAGATTACGCGAGACGATTGTCGATCGGAAAAGACAAAAGACTAAAGATCGGTGGTGGACCCAAGATACGGTTTTCGTAGCCGTCGAAGCGATCCGCTCGAAGCAACTTTTCCGAGATCTATTCTTCGAGTTTACGCACAATCGGTACTGTCGATACCCTGAAGCTCCATCTAGGTGCCCTAGCTTATCTACCACGGTGGAGAGCGCCGCGAGTATGGGTACTTTGGTCTCCTCGAAAGTTCGCTCGTCTTTCGATGCACGGTTTGTCGAGCACGACCAACCTAACGTAACGGCGCGGCCCACCCTCGGCGTTTTCGAGCGATAAAACCTGAAATACGAGCGCGCACGGTGGTCGAACTTCTATTCGACGCGACCGAAAAGGATGTTTGGATCATAACGCCGCGCACTCCCGTACACCCCGTTGCTTCCACGAGTTACTTTACACGACCGTTTGAAAAGGAGAGGCCCCTCGTTCTTCTGGACCTGGTTCTTTCTCGAGACACCTCGCTAGTCCTACGCGACACCGTTGAAAACGACGATTTCAAACGTTTACGGTCAAATTTGATGCGGAACGATACTTACGAGCAAACATTTCAATCTCCACGGAGAAACGAGCCCATCGTAGGAAGGCATGCGCGAATGATCAACTTCCGTAGTAGAAGAACTTCCTCAACGTCGATTCGTTTATCGAACAAAGAACGAGAGATCGCGCCGGGATAAAGCGACTCGACACATGTCGAGAGCATCGCGACGATGACGGAGATGGCCCGGTGGTGGTATCCTTCACGGGGGAAAAAGTACGAGGGAGATTAATTGGAACCTTCTTCGAGAGAAACAGAGACGACAAAGGGACGCCAGTGGGAGGGAGGGACAGACGGAAGGAGAGACAGGGACGGTGGGGAAATTGAGAGGAGCCGGAAAGAGCGGGATCGCTGAAGGAGGAAGAGAGACGGCGACTGTCAGGATAGCCCGGGGGCGAGCTTTTTGCCGAACACATAATGCATAGCGAAGGATGACACCCTTATCTCGAGATCTTTAATTCCGCGTGCCGCCGCGAGGGGGTTGTCGCGTCGTCATTTGTCGGTTGCACCACGTTGGAATCAGAGACGAGCGGAGGGGGTGGATAAAACCGCCACCGCTGTTAACATCACCGTTGGGTACAGGGGCTGGAAATTGCCTTGGCTGATTTCATTTCGGGCCAGATTATTTTAAGGGGTTCTGCTTTTCTTCCTCAGCCCCATCCGCGCTCCCGACAGGAATGTTAGATCAGAATGTTAGTCAAGAATAAACGATCGAAACGAAACTGTCGACGATCGAGCATCGCGTTATCCGTCGAAATTACTCACCTGCTAGCCTTTAACACGTGATGCCAACGTTCTCGTTTCCGTATGTAAAGAGAAACAAATATCTTCGTCGCGATTTTTCACGAATTTTGGCTCATCGAGCGCCGAGTAACCAACAACGAGGGTGGTATCCATCGCGGTGAGCAGACCGGGACCGCGAGTTTTAAAGACTTTCAACGTCCTATTATAAAGTCTTCACCGTGCATAATAACATTCAACTCCGTGGGCTGGAAGGCATTAGGGAAATCGCGTAGCCTCCCCCTAGCCGTTTCTCCATCACCCCTTTCCCTGTTCTCCCCTTCTTTGCCTCGGTGTCGCGGCCCCGTTCCAGCTACTTCATCGTACCATACGGACAATACGACCTCCGCGAATCGCTGGATCTCGCGGTGTACAACTCTCTCCGTCTCCTCGTGGAACGAAAACGATAAAAATAACGTTAAGGGTACCCTAAGCGGGATGCGAGGAAAAAGAAACATCGTCGAAAGGTTCACAAGTAGAGAAGCAATGTACAAACCTGCGGCACGTTGCGGCGTCTCCGTCGCGATGAAGATTTGGTCCTGAAGGTGAAATGAGGATGCGCTTGAAACTCATCGTGTTTGTATTTATAAGAATGTTATATTTTCTCGGTAGTAATGGGGGCCCCTATCGAGGCGATTCGTAAATATGTTAGTAGTGCGCTAATAAATGATATTTATATACAGATGGATAAAAAAAAGAGGAAAGAGACTCTTGACTCTTTCGCGTTGGAGCGCGATTTAATAGCGTGTAGTTCCTTTCTCCCTCTCTCGTACCGCTGCTACGCCGGCTCTTCTTTACACCTTCTTCTTTGTAACCTTTCATTTTGTACTTAATCGATACGGTAGAATCAAATTCGCCTCGCGATTTTGAGTAATTTACAAACGTCGAATCGCGCCATGCGACGCGCCTTGTGGAAGAATTCCCCTGATCGAAAAGTGCAACGGGTTTGAGATCAACGCGAAAGGGAAGGAAAGGTAACGACGACTCGTTTCCACGGTTAGGGAAACATTCCACGATCGCCGCTACGACTCGAGCGCTACGTGATTCGCTTCAACGGTGATTCGGATCCTTTATCAGCGCACGCATCAATTATCGGATACTCGGATCGTCTTTTGGTATAGGTGTGCCGCCCCTTTCTCTTCTACGTCACTTTCTTCCGTGTTTGTTTTTGGCATTAAAGCGTAAAGCCGCGACTAAGCCCCTCTTTTTGCGAGCGTTCGATCGCGCACCCTTCGGAAACGATGCTTCCGTTCCGTTACGAGTCGGAACAAGTTCGATTGTCCGCGCAAAGTCGACACGAGAGATCCCCGACCGCTGCGTCTGTCGTCGCTCCGCGAAAACCTTCAGGTACCGTTGGCTCGCGAAAAGAACGAATCTCAGATTTTATTCGTCGAGGCGCTATTTCCGCTTGCGATCAACAAATAGTGGTATACAACGCAAATACTCTACTCTCTCACGCTTTCTCGATCGGAGCGACGATCCGACATTGTTTCTATACAATTGGAAGCTACGCGATCTAACATACGCGGTGGTATTTATTTTCGCGACGTCGTCCAAGTTCGCGAAACCTGTTCAGATTTATGTGACGTAACCTTCGACGCGATTCGGGGTGGAAGTGCCGACGTTGAAGGCGCACCCGACGTTGTTCCGACGGAAACGCCACCTGTTACGGTTATCGCCGAGCAAGGAATACCGAAATCCGGAACTTTGACTCGCTCTCGAGGGGCATCGAAACTTACATCGTTAATCTTTGGTATCAGCCATCGTAAACGTTTGCTCGTATACCGAGATTTGGAAACTCCCCGAGATTCGTCATATTTTCGAGCTTGTCGTAGATCTAATAATCAGTCGAACGAAAAGCACATCGCGACAACGGTAAAACAATTAACCGATCGAAACAACAAAAATCTCGTAACAATCATCTCCGAACGGTCGGCTGATAGCCGAAGAACAAATGGAACACGCGAGAACTCGACGGTTCACCGTTTCGTTACGGTCGTTAAAATGCGATCTTCTCGGTTGCTACTCGTTGCTCTCGCCTTCTCGAACGAGGTTTACGTTAAATAGGGACGAACCGCGAGTACCATAGAAATCATCGATTGGTCTGCGTATACTGACAGTCTTTCGGGTTTGCAGAGTCGACGATACGGATATTTACAGGGAAACTCTGCTACTCTCACGCACGCAATCTTGCTCTCGTTTCATCACGCTCGCCTCTGAATCGTTCGTTCTTCTTCGCGCTAGAAATATATCTTACATAAATCGCCTATCATATCGATACACGTCGATATCGTACAGTACAAGACGCGCCCCTTTCTCCGTCCGTGTTTGGGCGCGTCGCGAGCACGAAGACGCATCGCGTCCGCGGTCGTACGGTCCTGTTACAAACATACCCTTCTTATAACTTGTTCGTATTCGTCGCGATCACAGTAATTATTCCCAACCTCTGGACGAAGTCTCGGAAAACGTTCGATCGTCCGCGAGATCCACCACCGGAGGTCGACTCGTCCCTAATATCGGTTTCACGCTGACGGCGATACTCTTCGCCGCGATTCGTTCCGTCCCTTTCTCGGCCCTCTCTACACTACTCCAGCCCTCCGCAGGCTTCGCACTCGCGTTTTCCTCGTTTTCGGTTCGTCGACGTCCTCGCTTCGTCCGGGAACGTCGGCCTTAGTAACCGCTGAGACATCTGAGCTTCTTCGAGGGAGGCGAGAGCTCGTTTCAGCTGGTCGGCGCCTGCACGGACATCGGCGGTGGCTTCACCGGTCCGAGAGCTGGACCCGATAATCCGTTGTTGTTCATGTCCCCGGGAGCCCTGGGACCGCCGACGCCTATGGCCGTTCCGTTCACCGTCGGCGTACCCCCCGACATTTGACCCTGGAGTCACAAAATTATCATTCTCACTTAAACGTAACATCAAACGCGTTTCGCGACGGAACAGGATGGGCCGTGCTGTTTCAATAATCGAATCTGCCAATGGCCGTTTTTGGAAAAACTAAGACGGGACTTTCTACTTTAAACGTCCGATTACTTTGGCGACTATTTTTCAACGTAGGGAGAGTTCTACGCGTGCATCGACGGATTTGCGCCGGTGTGCGTGAAGCGCTTCAAACGTTGTTTCTCCCTTAACTTACGTTCGACACGTGATTATGTTGACCCACCGACTGCCCAAGTCCCTGATGAGGTTGCTGTGGATTGTGACCCGGATGCATGTTCTGGCCAGGCGGTGTCGGCGTGGGGGGCAGCTGCCTTTTGATGTACGCCAGCGAGGCGGGTGTTTGTACCGACATATTGGCGAACGCGAGCATCTCCTCGTAGTCGTACTCGCAGAGGATTTTGTTGTCGCACAGATAGAATCGATCGCCCACGCAAAACCTAAAACCAAAACCAGACACTGTCCAGCTTCTCGCGTCATCGTTCGTCCCGATACGGGGCGCGGACAACGCGCGCCAGTTTTCTAGGGTTATGCGTTCATTCACCTGTTTCGTACGATTCGCGGGGGTGATTGAATCCTCTCTGCTGGTAAAACGCTCGCACGAATTAAAATGAAAGAACGCAAGGGAGAAGAACGTAGAAGGCCAATAATTCTTCCGGCCGGGTCACTGTATGGCGGAGTCACCCCGTGTCTCGTCGATAATCGGTCGAAAGAAAATAAAAAACGAAAGAACAACGTTAAAGGGAAACACGGGACGACCGGTGGATAACGAGCGTATCGCAACGTGTCGGACAAATAATTATTATCGGGCTTCTGTCCGCGAGCGGTCTCACATCCGCTTTGATCCCCAGTAGGAAATACGAGAGCGAAATACGAGCGTGGCAGAGTCTGGTTCGAGGTAGATACTCTCATAATCGTACGGCAAATAGAATTATCGCGTTGCGCGCGGCCGTTGCCGGCGAGCATAGGTTATACCGGGTTTCGCTCGTTTCGCCCATTATACGCGTCGTCTGCTAAATGACGCTGTACTCCGATCCTCGTCCTTTCTCTCTTCTGTTCTACCTTCCCATCCCATACCCTCTCGCTCTTCCCACCGTTCATCCGATCTCGTTATTCGGCTGACAGTCACCTGCTGGTTTCTGGTCCCCGTTCGCCGCGCGACCGGTCTCTCGCTTTCAAGGCGTTCTTCTTGTCGATTGCCTGTCAGCTAAACTACGCAAGGTTATTTACTTTGTCCGACTCGATCCCCACCGCGACTGGCTTTCCTCCTTCCGCGAATCGCTTCGCTGACAACGCTTTTCGCGGAGGAGATCCAGACGTCGATGGTCGGACTGCGCCGATTGCCGAAGCCGAGTACAGTGACTCCGAAGATCACGAATTACAGGAATTACCACTTGTTGATCCGGCTCATGAGAAACTCGTTCGACATCCAACTCCAAGTACGACCACGCGACGCAACGATTTTAGCGGTACACGAGCGAAGAAATCATACGGAAATTTAGGACCGCGATTCGACGTTTCGCGCGACGATTAACGACGTTCTTTTTATGCTTTATCGAGAACTCGCAATTCTAGACAGTTCTATCGGTCGACTCGATTCATACGACTCGTCCCTCCGTCTGGATCGGAGGGAGTACTCCCAGAATTGCGCAACGAACAGCATTATCGCGTTGCACGAGCGCCCCCGTTCCGGAATCCTATTATGATCGTGCGAGTAATGCCGCGCAAATCCCGGTCCTTTAATTCCCGCGTCCGGTGCAGGTGTCTGTCGCGGCACGATACTGCTTCCACGATATTTGCAGATTTTCCACTTTCCTCTGGAATTTTCGTGCCACTGCGCGCTCGAGTTCGTTAAGCTTCGTTAAGCACGCTTCTACGACAGGTTACATCGTGCAACGTTTAGTTTTCTTTTTTCTTTCTTTTAATCCTCCACAATTGCTTTCGAAGGCAGCTCGAATCGTCAACGAAACGCACCTCGCATCAGTAAAGACTATAAAATAATCCGAGAGAAAGCGCTCTGGTCCCTCGGTTTTCGTAGAATACATAATAAAAAGAGTCTGTCGGTACAAACGAGAAACACCGTAACGGAGAAACCCCTGTACGCTAATCAAGCCAACGATTCGTTTTTTTTTTTTTTAACCAATTTGTGTAATATGTTTCGTCGCGCTAACACGAGTTAATCAAGCTCTAAAATATTTTTACATTTCTGCACGATAACCGTATTTCGTTGGTTATTCGCAAATCACTTACAGCGTGATTAGAACGAGGTCAGAAGTATATGCAATCGCGCAAGTGTATTTGCATACAAACAATAGAGAAGTACCGAAGTTATCGCGTCGAACTGAAAGCTCGTATAAAAAGCATCGCGCGAACGGAGGGACTCGTGTGCTTAATCCCTAGATTGCTGAATAATTCTGCTCGAATCGCGAACGTTCGCGATTCGAAAGGTCAATCGTGAAAAAGTTTACGGAAGAGTCAAAGTAACGCCACAGTTTAGCGTGCAGGATTTGCTTTTTTCGGCAACCGTTCGCACCAAGGTTGGAAGGACGTAGAGCGGTACGCGCGCCCCTGGAGTAGGGCTGAAATATTAAGCCATCGCGACCGGAAGACGAAGAAGAGTAGAGCAGTGTGTCGCCAAAGCAAAGGTGCGGATCGTGCTGGTCTGCATGGAAAATTTCAATCTAGAAAGGGGGAGGGGACGCAGAGTAGCCTGGGGACCGGGATAACTCGGTTGAATCTTTAACCAGGATCAACCGGCTCTGCGAAAGTCAGAAGGCTCGGGACGCGCAAGAATTCGAGGAAAAATCGTACGCGGCGTCTAGCGCGGAAACGAACGACGGCGCGACACAGACGGAAGCCAGAGCCAGCTTCGAATACATAAATAACATAACCGGTGCCAATGCGTGACCCCATTAGAGTCACTTTACGGGACACGTTCTTCGGTGCCGCTGCAGTTGTAACGTTCCCGGAGTAATGTCGCACTGGTCCTTGCACCGCCAGATCCTGCGTAATAAAACATTCACCGGACGCTCCTCTACGAATCCTTTCTTCGAAAGGACACGGGTTTCTTGGATAAAATTTGCAATGTCGGATCTACGAGACCGCGTCGAGGGACGACGGTTGCTGGCGCACAACGCTACCGCTTTAATTCGCTTTGGCGTTGTTGCGAGGCGAATTTCCTCCGCGATACATGGGATCGTCGAATCGAACACTTTGGTACCTCTGCCCAGGTGGAAGACGCGAGAAGAAATTATTGCGATCCCTTTAACCCTTAGAAGCCTGATTTTCCAAATTAAATTTTAATCTTCGAATAACTAACCCTTGCCTGAATGAAAAGTATATTTCATAAAGTAACACGCCAGCATCTATTTATATTTCATTTTGCACGAGTGCATAGGTACGTGTCGTATACGTTTCTCGACGGCCGTGAAGCATTAACGAACGTCGAATTAGCGACGTCGCGGTGGCAAACTGCAATTTGTACTCGACGAGGGCATTAACTGGGCGGTCGTTAAATTTGACCGGACGTCTTCTCGAGAGGATCGAAGAAACGCAGAGGGGACGCGCGCTCCGCCAAGGATTCGCGTGTGTACGCGAAGCCCTGAGCATCGATGTACCCAACGTGCCGTCGTGTGTGTAGGATGCAAGTGAGAGGGAGAGAGAAAGATATCTAATTGGATCAGTAAATCATCCTCTAACCAGGAGGGTGGTAGGCACCGCCACCGGCAACCCTTTATTCTCTGTTATTACAGTCTAAAGTTACCCCGTGTAATTGTTGCTGTTTAATTGCAAACTCTAAGTCGTCGCGTTACACGTCGCGGCGCCCCGCGTATAATTGCCCTCCTCGAGTTCACCCGCTCGTTTTTTACCGACGAAATAATTAGAACCGATGCCTCACCCGCCATCAACTATCCGAATCTGCCACACGAGGGTAACTCCCCCGAATCGTTTCGATGATCGCACGACCGGTTCCTGAAAATTCCCCGTGCTCAAGGAAGAGCTTGAATTTAAAACGATCGAAAGGGGTGTGTGTGAAAATTCTGATAGATTAACGATATATAAAATTATACCCAAATATGTTTGAGAAGAACGATGTTCATCCATCGATGACGATACGTCGAACGAAGCTCGAAAGACGATCGATTCAGCGGTGATTCGCGTTTACGCGCAGTTCTATATTACATACGGTTACGCTGTGCTTTTGTTTTACCGCAGTTTGCCGTCCGATGAGAAATCAGGTCGATCGAGTCACCCGAAACGTTCGCCAATCGACAGGAATCGCACGGCGAAACAGGCAATCGTGAAAACCGGTGGGCCTGTTTCCGCTCGAAAAAGCTTCCACCGAGCCGCAAGAACATCGCGCGCGTACAGAGGCTGAATTACGAGACAAAAGAGCGTTTCGTTGATTCCGGCGAAGTCGGTTGCGACGTTGAACGCGACGATGCCTTGGGCATGCCAGCAGAGAGAGCCCCGCTGCTGCTCGCTCGTCGACCCATTGTCGAAGATAGACAATGCCACGCGATAAAAACGTAAAATTGATGCTCTTTTGTTCGCATTGTTTGAGAAGCTGTACTACGTTTGTCGCACGCCTGGACGAACCACTGTTATTGGCTCCAAACTACATTCTCCTGTTCCGTTCTTTCCCACCCCCGCCGGTCCACGACCTCGTCCCGCCACTTTGCCTCTTTCTCTTTTGCACCCCCTTACCCAGACCGCTGCCAATTCGCTCGTGTTCGCCGACAAACCCTCGAACCCTTCGTTCCGTCAATAAGCCCGGTATTGTGCTACGCCACAATTCCATAGTTTCGGCGTTTTACATTGACCGGCTTTCAGCAGCTCGATCCACTTCTATTTTCAAATCCCCCGCTCCGCCGACTCGTTCCCGTATCTTCCTCGGATTTCGCCGAAAAAGTCGCGATCCCGGTGCTTCGTTCCTCGACGCAAACCGAAGCAAAAAGTTCCTAATTCGCGGCAACGAACTTTCCCATCCTGACGAATTATTCGAAGGTGTTCGTTGTAATTGAACCGGCGATGCTTGCGCGTAAATCCCGGGTCCTTCTCGGCATTTGGAGACGGTCTCGCTCGACGACGAGAAGCGACGCGATACAAAAATGTCAGCAGTATCTAGATAATTACATAACTGGTCTCAGGGGTCGACGCAGAGAACGAGGGAGGGGTCAGGACGTGCGCGCGAGAATAACGCGACGAGAAGTTGGTCTCTCCTGCGTGGAATGCCGGCTCGAGCGGGGAAAGAGGTCGCGACGGATAGAGCAGAGGGTGATTTCCCAACTGACCTGTAAAGCAATTCCCGAGCGGACTGTGTCTCGCAAACCAGTACTCGCTTCTTTCCATTCGTCCCTTATACGTCTCTGTACCTTTTCCCTGTACGCGTTCCCTTCGCCGCGTCCTTTGTCTCCGTTGATTTTGCATGACCGTGAACGCGCGGTCCTTCTTCCTCGTTTGCATCCCCCTTAACCGCGGTATACGACCAGAAGGTAAACGAACGCTATCGAGACGGAGCGGAAAAATCACCCCAACGGTTGGCGTTCGACGCGGATGGACGAGAGGTCCGATTTCTATGTTGCGGACGGAATCGACGCGAAGAGCTTCTGGAAGAGTGTCATACGGAGCGTTAAACGGTACGGCGGGGATGACCCCTCCGTGGTTTTGAATAGCCGATCGATGTTAATCCGATTACAATCAACCGTAGCAGCTTCGGATGAGAGTCAACTAGAATCGGACGTTTCAAGATTCGGAGCTATTCGATGGCGTTCCGAGTTTGTTAATAATGATACAAAATGTGGTATCGCGATACCCATCTCTTCCAGCAGCTATGTTCGCGATATCACGAAACGAATCTTCGAAACGAGCGCGCGTCAAACTTACCGATAAGTGCACTGCTGACAAGCGAAGCAGTCCAGGTGATAGACGTTCGTCCTGGCCTTCATGACCAGTTCGTACGGCGGTATGTGCTTCTTGCAGGCCGCGCAGTTGCCCGTATTCCCGAACATCCTGAAGTAGTCCCTCTTGCAGAGGATAAGGTTGGCCTTGGTGAACAGAGTCGAACCGACCTCTCCTAACCTACAGTCGCAGCATCCGCACTTGAGACAGTCCTCGTGCCAGTAGAGGTCCAGAGCCTTGAGGAGAAACCTGAAACACCGACCATAGTTTTCGTGCTTACCGACCAGCAGTTCGCGTCGTCGTCCAAGATAATCTTCTACCGCGACTTACACGGGGGAACTTTATCTTCGGCCTACCCCGTCGCTAGCATTTCGATTCTCCGCTCGTTTCGCTACGCGTTTCTTATACGACCGCGACAGTCTCGTTAACCGTTATTCTTAGATTTCGATCTCGTCGAGACGAGTAGATACGTCACCGGAAACGTCGAAGACGTCGTGAAACGCTAGCGGAGAGAATTTAACGCGCCTAAGGGCTCACCTTTCCGTGATCGTCTTTCCGCAACCGGCGCATTCCTGCTGCGTGGTGCCATTTTTATTCGTCTCCGACTTGCTCACGTCCATAGTCATCGTGATTTCGGCTGGAACGCCGTCTGCAACAGAGAAAAAAACACGGACTCGTTGATTCGACGATATCGTGAGATCGTGTCCAACAACTATTCCGCGTTCTCCACAATGGACCCACCCCGTCGGCGTCGCGACCCTGGAAGAACCAGCGCCGGACCGCGAAATGCCACGTGGTCCGTATTCGACACGCGTTTCGTACGTCGCCGTGATTGCATCGATGGATCGTAAAGGGTTAACTTTTCAAGTTACCGTCGAGTTCGTAAACGTCGAAGACGACTTTGGAGAACGACTCTCGTCGACATCACCGTCCGAGGGTTTGGAAATGCGACGAGGCCAGAATAGACGAAGCATCCGGTCGCCGCGTTTCAAAGATCAACGAGAAATGCGGGTGGAAGCATCGATCACGGGAACGCTCTAACCGCCGATGGTGGCCCCTGTGGTGAAAAGCAGCGACAAACGCGAGAGAGAGAGAGAGAGAGAGAGAGAGAGAGAGAGAGAGAGAGAGAG